TTTGAGTGCTTGGTGTTAAAATTGTATGTTATAGTGGATTATACTATTTATCATACATTGTATAAGGTAAATTGCAAAACATTAGCAGCAAACATCTAAGAGAACTTTGGAAAAAAAGACACTGGGCCTCATTCACGAACGGTTCTTAGGAACAGATTTGTACGTAAATCCTACTTACGCGGTTTTTACGAAGAAAGTGGCATTCACGAATATTTCTCGTAACCAGAATTTCTCTTGGGCAAGTACAAATCCTACAGGTCCTCAGGAGCACTCGTACGCATTCAGTGCCGACATGTTCACACGCCGGGGTTGTCCTCTTTGGTGAAGTTTAATAAAAATACAACATTCCAGTGATATGTCCGTCATATCGATGTATGTATTTATTTATTTGTAGTAATCTTTATTAGTAATCTTTATTTATATACCGCATTTTTCACTGCAGATCTGGCCTACTTTTTAATTCATTTTGAAATGAAATGTGCCAACGCTTTATCAAATACATTGGAAATCTTGCCGTGTATTAGTGACCCCTTCCTATTTATAGGGGGCATTTCTTTATCCACGGGCCACAGAACAACGGCATATATACTGCTGCTGCAGGAGGTTACTGGGTCCGCGCTGAGTCTCTGCGCTGGTCTCTCCTATGGATCTAGACGGGTCTGCACTGGTCTCTCCTATGGATCTATACGGGTCTGCACTGGTCTCTCTCCATACGGGTCCGTGCTGCATGCTCCTGGATCCATACGGGTCCGCGCTGGTCTCTCAAGTCTGGTCTATGCGGTCTATCTTCGGTCCGCGCTGGTCTCTGCGCACCGGTCTCTCCAGTCAGGTCTCTCAGTCAGGTCTCTCAGTCTATGCGGTCTCTCCTATAGGTCCGCGCTGGTTTCTGTGTGCTGGTCACTCCAGTCTCTCCTCGGGTCTGCATTGGTCTCAGCGCTGGTCTGCGCTGGATCTCCTCCCAGGGTCCAAAATATTTTGAGATTAATCTCAAAACATTTTGAGATTCATCTTTAAAATAATACATAATATATTTTTAAATTAAGCTCATAACATTTTGAGATTAATCTCATCATATTCTTAGATTAATCTCATAATTTTGCGAGTTCGACTTTATTATCATAATATTTCAACTTTTAAGTCAACATTTTATAACTTTATTCTCAGTCTGGTAAAAGAAGTAACTCTTTGCTTTAGGCCTGTTGCTGTTTCCTCAGCCGTCTGCACACGGCCCTGCATCCCCTTATATGGGCATTAGTGGGCGGTTACTTATGCTAAGTACCTATGCTAATGAAGCACCTGGCACGCGCGCTGTACTTACGAGGAAATGGGATTCATCAATCTGAGAGAACAGCTGCGAACAATTCAGCGGCTTACGAGTGCGTTGATGAATCCCACGTGGGGACTTCTTAGAAATCTACTTAAGGACAACTTGAGAAGAAAGTTGAGTAGTTTCTTACGAAGTTATTCGTGAATGAGGCCCAATGTCGATACAATCTGTAAGTAACTAACATCTTTAATAAAACCTAGATTCAGAACTAAAGTCATGGGAAGAATGGTCTCTGGAAGGAATCAACTTAACAAAGACATTAAAGAGTCAAAAATAAAAAATCATGGTTTTTAAGAAACAACAAAACTAGTATACTCAATAAATATGAGAGTGTTACATAATAAGAAAATCTGGATTTTAATTAATGGCTTGTGTTTTGGTAAAATGTTGTACATAATGTTTAATTAATGGTTTGTGTTTTGGTAAAATGTTGCACATAATGTTTAAGGTATGTAATATGGGTGTTTAATCAGTCTTTAAGATGACTATTTATGGTAACGAGTGTCAATTGTATATCTGAGAGATGTACGCCTTTAAATCATTTGATCTCAATTAAAAAGAAAACCTGTACCAAGGACCGTAGTTTCACATCTACCTACTCTGTTTCAAACTGTGTACATATATGTATCTAGGGTTCTTATTTTTATTGTATTGGACAATTAAATTGATATAGAGACTGCTACCTTATGATTAGGGTTAGGATTATAACACATTAATTACAATTGATAAACGCCACAAAAATATATGTGTTTTTGCTCCACGGAACCTTCGTCATCAGGTGAGTTTCAGACGGATCGTTCATACTGGTGTACCAGTTGGAACCCTGCGCCCATCTCCGTGAAAAAAATAACAACTATCCCCCTATTGTTTTAGTGCAACACTCAGGACCACATGATAAGGCTATCACACACACCTATGTGTCGCTCTTTCAGAGTTCGGGTGCAGTACCACTTGTTGCAGAAAAATAATAAACACCTATACAATACAATACAATTTATTCTTGTATAGCCCTAAATCACAACTGGAGTCATCTCAGAGGACTTACCAAAAAACTACTGAAAATCACCAACACAGATCGGAGAATCAACAGTTAAAACACATAAAGAATATAGACCCCTACATGTTGTAGAATATTAAAGTGTCCTGGATCATTACCACAGTCCTTCTAGTTTCTCACTAACTGTGCAACAAACCCTTCCTGCATCAGCAATGAAAAACTCATATGAAAAAAAAGTGCGAAACCTCAGGGAGACCCATAGTTTGAGAAAGAGATCTGCTTCACTCAAGTGTTACCTTTGGAAAATAGGGCACCATACCACCTTTTCATCACATGGTACTACATGTATCACCCTGATTGGACGTAGTAGGTCCATCCTCCTCCCAACCCCTTCATCATGATTCGTTGTTAGTACACCCTCCCCACCCCTTCAGCATGATTCGCTTACACTGTTTCCTGTAGGTTGATAGGTCTGGGGCAGGTCCTCCCCTGCAGCTTGATTAGCTATTAGCACGTCTTCCCTAACCAGGGCTTCACTGTTTGTTTTAGAATAAACATGGTGTAACCCTACGCAGGTGTTACGCTAAGCTCTGTTCAATAAATCACCTTAGACAACTGTGAAGCACACACACACACTGGGGTCAACAGAGGGCAACTCATTAAACATTCAAAGTGACACCTCTTGGAAAATACAGTGCAGTAACACCTTTCACCACTTGCTCAATAGCGCCGACCCTATTCTGAGGAGTTCAGGGTGCAGTACCACCTTTTCACCACTTGCTCAATAGCGCCGTCACTTATATCTACTGCTGGGTCTTCCAGCATGACAATGATCCCAAACACACCGCCCGGGCAACGAAGGAGTGGCTCCGTAAGAAGCATTTGAAAGTCCTGGAGTGGCCTAGCCAGTCTCCAGACCTCAACCCCATTGAAAATCTGTGGAGGGATTCTAAAGTCCTTGTTCACTGCTCTCGAGAAGATCTGCATGGAGGAATGGACCAAAATACCAGCTACTGTGTGTGCAAACCTGGTAAAGACCTATAGTAATTGTTTGACCTCTGTTATTGCCAACAAAGGTTATATTACAAAGTAATAATAGAGTTGAATTTTTGTTATTGACCAAATACTTATTTTCCACCATAATTTACAAATAAATTTAAAAAAAATCCTACAATGTGAATTGCTGGATTTTTTTTCACATTCTGTCTCTCACAGTTGAATTGTACCTATGATGAAAATTACAGTGGGAGTAAAGTATTTAGTTATTTTTAGTATATGTTTTCTCCGATTAACATTTAAATCTGTTGATTGATTGTTACGGAAACGTAGGCGTAGACCGTAGACCAATCAGAAAGGAAGGGCAAGGGAGCTTGGGTCGTTTTTTTTTTCAAATCATGTACCGCTCTCGACAGTAGCTCAGTTGGTAGAGCATTGGCCTTAAGGCCAGAAGGTCGTGGGTTCAATTCCCACCTCTGCATCGACTCCCACTGATGACTGCTGTCGTTGTGTCCTTGGGCAAGACACTTAACCCCAATTTGCCCAAAGCCCCCACTGAAAGATCAAGGCTATGCTCACACTCAGTGAGCAGCCGTCCTCCTGTGGACTCACCACCTGCAGAGGGTCAGTGAGGGGCTGGTGCTATGAGACTTGGGTGGCATCTCTGACTGCCACCCCCCTGACCCAGAAATGGATTAAAGGGTAGAAAATGGATGGATGGATGTACCGCTCTTTCTTTTTTCTAACAAACTCCAGACAATCACTTTAATGTAAATTGAAATATATAGTTTGAGAGAACATAATCTCTCAAGGTGCTAAAAGCTGACTCAGAGACGCCATAGATAAGACTCTTTTTGTTTATGCCCTCCTATACATACGGGAGAGAGTGACCGTTAGTCAGCAAATCTACTCGGGAGCTGCCACGCGGTTGACGGTTTTATTTCCTGTATATGAATACATTTACTGAAATAATAAACCACACTTTGATTGTATTACAGGTATTGGTTGTTTATTTTATATTTTATTATTGTGTCCTTTACTCTCTTGAAATTCCACAACAAAAGCAAAATAAATACAAATTATATTTTTTACTTTAGATTAAAGGTAAAATTCTGTGTTAGAAAACTATATTTTTAACCATATCATAAATACAAAAAAAACTCAATAAAACTAGCGAATAACAATTACATATATTTAAGCGCCAAGCGCCAAATCCAAAGTATCAATCTATTCATAACCTCCAGCATGCACGGCAGCAGGGAGGTCTCACAAAAACATCACCAACAACTGTCGTTTGAGTTCAGGTCCAGAGCATCAGCACAGGATGTGTGCAAATTAAAGGGGCAGTTAGTAAGATTTACATTCCTCACCTACAGTTAGCCAAGCTGTATTAAGATTGTCCATCTTAGAACCTATTCATGAAATAAAAACCTATGTGAAAAAAACATGCTATTTTTGCAACTAACAAAATTTACAATAATAATGGTACTTTAGTCACAAAATTCAAGGCATAAAAAAACATATAATTTTTCATTTCTGCGTATGTATTGTGAAACAAACCAGTTGGGCAGAACTGACAATGGTCGGAGAGCATTACCTGCATGGGTCTGAAGGACAATCCTGGGAAACGGGCCTTTTCCCAGGGGCGCATGCCAGGAACTACTCGAGTACTCCTCTCACCTGCTCCTTGAGTTGGGACATATAGTGGTCACTGTTGGCGAAGTAGAGGGAGGAGCCATACTGGAAGATCTTAATGCCCTGTTCTTCTGAGGCCTGGGAACAAGAGCACACAAAGGGGTACACCAGGCGGCACATCAAAACTAATTACAAAAAAATCACATTAGAAACAAATACTCAAACTAGTCAAAAGTTTCAATAGTCTCATATTAATTGTTACTAAAACTACTATCAAAGCTAGATACTAATTTTGTTGAAATGTAATCCTTGTCAATAAAAGTCTAGTCCATGTACCAGATTGTTTGAGATGAAACAAGCAACATTGCTATAAGCAACAAAAAGCAGGGAGAAACTATAGCCATCTATTTCTATGTACATCTATTTCTATAGCCATCTATTTCTATTTTCTTCAGACATTTTCTTCTTAATCTTAAAATTAGATTTGCCAATGGAATAACTGGACAACTAAAAATAATCAAACTACAGAAACTGCAAATAAAATAATCAATATAGTTAGGACTACAGAAAGTTCCAGCCATAGAGTGGATGATGAGCACACTCACCTCTTCATACTGGTCCACAGAGACATACAGGTCTGTGTCAGGAACATGGCCCAGGACTGAACTGCGAGGACTGAACACAAGAACACACCCACCAACTAGTCCTTTCTGACTGTGAAGCCATTTATTGTCAAAAATGTGTTGTCTATTTTCGAATTATAACATTATTGAGCCGTCACCTCACTGGGGAGGAAGGAGCCTGAACTCGTGGAGGATGTTGAGAGATACCTAAAGGTAGTTGGCCACCCCTCCACACAGGTCAGGCTATGGAACCAAACTCCTTGGGGTAAGACCATCCACTTTCCTAGCATTTCCCCCCCATTTCAACTGCCACATATTCGCCCCGGTGAATGAGAGGGTCACTATTGTGACAGCCTATGAACCAAACAGCAGGAAGGGGTACTGGATAGTGCACCGACTGTGAGAAAGGCCTGGAGAGCGGTGATCGGGAGAAACGGCAACACCTTTTACAGTGCGGGTGGAGAGATGCTAACCTCAACTGGATATTTCATCGGGCGTTGGAAAGAATACTTTAATGTTTTCCTCAATCTCTACTTCACATCCTCCAATGTGGAGGCAGAGGTTGACAATCTTCCATCTTCTGGCCAATTGAGTTGGTTTGGATTTGCTAATTGAGTTGGCCATTTCGGAGCCCTACAGGACACCTCGGACGTGCCCTGAATACGTCCGGGGTGTCCTGGGCATATCCCAGCAAAAGGAAACCCTGGGGAAGACCCAGGACACGTTTGTCAGCTGGCATGCTGGATGCCTTGGGATTGCCCTGTAAGAGCTGAAGTAGGGTAGAGAAGTTTGGGAAGTCCCTGCTCAGACTGCTGCCCCCATGACCTGGCAAGGGATAAAGCGGAAAAAAATGGATGGATGGACCAAATAATATATTTGAGCTGCTTTGGGAGAGATCTCAAACGTGCAGTTCATGCAAGGCTGCTCAGGAATTTACAGGAACCTGACACTGAAGAAAAGTTGAGAGCTTTACCATCTGAGAGGGAAAAGAACCTCATCCACAAGTACCACAACTGACTCCAAGCTGTCAAACTGTAGATTATTGTTTCAACATTTAACAACTTGTGAAATTCTATAATTAGTCATAAAATTGCATAGTTTTATATCAAAAGTGTTTTCATACTAGTCTGATAATCAATGAGTTTACAGCAAAAACAACAGACAATAGATAGCCTTGAAAAATGTTCTTTTCAGAGAAGGGAGTCTTCCTGTATCTCACCAGGCAGGAGACCGGACTAGACCAGACCCAGCAGGGTCTCAGTCGGTCTTACCATATTACGTCATCAGAGGCACTTCCTGTGCACATTCCTGTGCACATTCCATAAAAACTGTTCTGTACGATTTGTTAGCCAGCTGAGCTCACATAGAGAGAGAGCAGGGATAGGATGGCCAGGGATAGGAGCTCTGAGTTTTGTATTTGATTGTAAAGATAATTAAATACTGAGACACATTTATTTTTTTGACAATAAGATGTAAAAGGGTAATGCACGCTATTGAGAACTGGGGGATTGAGACTTCTGATTGAAGTCTGGACTTTCTAATCTCATTATCATTTGAACATGCAAAACATGTTTATTTGACAATAAAAGGCTTCTCCAAACCACAACTATGACTGTTTTTTGCATTAACATTCATTATCTCAGAAATATAGCAAAAAATATATAATTCTGCCTATGTGTAAACTAAATTGCAACTGTAACAATAATGAATTTAAAGTAATAAAAATGAGGCATTGAGTAACTAAAAGAGGTCGGTCAAACTACAGCTCACAGAACTCACTTCTGGGTTCTGTAGATGACGGTGAGGATCCCGAAGGCGATGGACACCAAAAGACCTAGGTCCAACCCGAGCAGCACAGAGGACACAAAGGCAGTCACCCAGATGCTCTGCAAGGACAGGACAAGAACATTAGTGGGGAAATCATTACAACACAAAAAAGACTTTAGTAGCACATGTCTACTTCAAAAGTTAGTTAAAAGGACAATATTCTAACCAGCTCAATCTTGGATGTCCTCCACAGATAAGGAATGTCTCTCAGCTGTTTGAACATCCCCAACAGGTTCACCATGATGATGGCCGCCAGCGCAGTCTGACAACACAGCACAGGTATGGTCTAAACATCGAGTTATTCTTGTCAGCAATTACTACAAACTGAATTGTCCTTGGGGATTAATAAAGTTTGATTCCGATTTTGAGGTTTAAGTGCAAAGAGTACAGCTGTCTTATCAGTGGATTCATTTGTGGAGTAAATATGGGTTTGAAAACCCTGTCACCAGGGTGTGCGCATGCATATGGGTGCGTGTTTGTGTGCCTGTGTGAGCAAGCGTATGTTTTTGTGTTGTGCTTCCCAGTTTATGGTCAAACATGTAGAATTTGTTTATGGTTTAGTTTGGGGCTCTGGCATTGATAAGTCAAACTTGAATCTAATCTCAACTATTATATATATATAAAAAAAGAACTTTTAGGTGTACATGTAGAACTGACCTGAGGCAGAGGCTCAAACACAAAACCAATGGCCACCACCACCACCAGCACCATGAGCGAGGCCAGCAGCCCTGCCACCTGCACAAACACGTGTGCACACATAAACTCAGGTTTCTTTAAAATAGTAAGAAAATGCTTCTGTTTATCACATTGCATACTGAGTTAATCAAATCTCAAAAGTGTGATCCCTCAAATTAAACAAATCTGAGGGAATGATTTATTTAACAGCACAAGTAAATCTGAGAAAAAAGAAATGAGACCATGATATTTCTATATGCGATGAAATTAGTTAAGTATTAATTTTAACTCTGGTTAATTTTAAGACGCAGTACATCCACATATCAACACCATAAGGTGGTGCATACGGCACCTCCACAGGTGCTCCCCTCGTTATAAAATAAAGTGGAACAAGCAAACTAGCCAGGCTAGGCATAACAGCATTGGCAATGACCAGCAGAAACGGTTTGGCTCAAATAAAGCCATAGTATGTACATAGATCAACACTATAATCTTAGGGGAGTTGGCTCGGACGGCACCTGCACAGCAGAGGTAAGAGTTTACTCAATAATGTAACACTAGCTGACCATATCATCATCTTATACAATTACAATACAATTTAGCCCTAAATCACAACAGTAGTTATCTCAGAGGACTTAACAAAACCTTTGAAGTCACCAACACAGATCAGAGAATCAACAGTTAAGAAACAAAAAAGAATACAGAACACATGTTGATAAATGTCCATACACGTTGTAGAATGTTAAAGGGGACCTATCATGAAAAATCCACTTTTTGTGCCTTAAATGCCTTATGTTGTGTAGTTGGAGCCTCTAGAAATGCAAAAAAGTTGAAATCAGTTTCTTCATGGGTTGCAGAGAACACTTCATATTCTGTTTAAGTAAGATTTTTCAACCCGTTCTGATTTTGCCATTCTCTATTACGTGTTTAGAATTATTACGTCACAGTATTTGCAGCGAGACTGCTATATAAGGGCATGGGCGTCTAACTAAACACTTCGGCCCAGCCCCCCTTTACTGTGCATCACTTAGAATTTGTAGTCCAAGCTCAAGGATGCCAGAGAACAGGGCTGGACTGGCCATCGGGCGTACCGGGCAAATACCCAAAGGGCCGATGCCCAAATTTGGGCCGGTCTGTCTGCCTCATACAAAACACATGTTTGTGAGAAGTGTAAATCCGTTGAGAATTGTTCGAGGGGGACGCGCGTATCCGCGGGGCACCTGCTGTATGTACTCGAACGGGATTCCGCCTCCTCAGCGGCCGCAATGAGCGGCTTCCCGCATCCAGAGAGGCTGTGAGTGTCCAGCCGCTCGCAGCCGCTCCGTGTTGCGGCTGAGCGCGCCGCCTCAACGTGGCCATGTACCCAACCCAGGGCTGGACTGGGACAAAAAAAACGGTCCGGGCATTTTTTCCTTTTTAGCGGCCCAGGCAACTCAAAAGGTTCAAAGAGCCATATTTGACAAAAAAACTAAAAACATCTGTCTGGAGCCGCAAACAAAAAAAAAAAACAGCGTTGTATGAGGCTTATATGAAGGTAACAGGGGCTGAAGCTGTATTAGCTACATTAGCTACATTAGCTACCTTAGCTACATTAGCTACCTTAGCTACATTATCTATATTAGCCTAATATCTAAATGACAAAGTAAAGGCTACAAACACATAAAAACCATTCATGATTATCAAATGTGTATTTTCATTGCAGCGTCTCCTGGAGAGAATGACGCACCACGTGACAACTCTGCTTTAACTTCCATTTTTTTGCCTTCATGCAATTGTACAAATACAGTAATTACATCTGCTTTTTGGCTCCGAGTTCACCTGCATCACTGTTCATATCGATCACATCACAGGCTGAAGTTTGCTGGAGCTGAATGTCCTTAATGGCCTTTTCTTTCACCGTCTTTGCGAAGGTATTTGAAGTCTGAAAATAGGTGCTCTGACTTTATGATGAAAGAACAGTGTTTAAAGCTTCATTGTTCCACCTGTTGCAACAAAACTTTTCATTACATAGCAAACATGAAGCAGTCCTTCCTCATTGACTGAAAGCAAATGTTCATTCTCATTCTTAGTCCAGTCTTATCGACTCTCTCTTTATCTTTGGGATCCATGCGCACACACAGTCTATAATGCACACACGCCGGTTTGTTTACTGCAGCGGCCGCCTGGCGCGGGCCGCGTCACAGGATATGACGCACTATGTTGACAGAAATGCTAAAATTGAATATTACTTATACAAGTTTTTGCAGCATTTAAAAACGTTAAGAATGTTTTTCCTCCTACAGAAACCACATTGAAACTAGAAATAAAATATAGCCCTCACACTCCATTTTCAGACATTTTTGAAAAGGCTCCAGGAGCCACTTTAGGGGCACTAAAGGTTGCCGACCCCTGGTTTATACAGTATGTGGAAGCAAATACTGTAGAGGATCAGGATGTCTGCAGTTTCAACAATAAAATAAAGTACAATAGTCTACATTAAACAGAGTAATAAACATGTCTCAGAGTGAGGGAGGTGGGCACAGACAATACTATTGTTTGTTACAGGGATGATAATTGGTAAAAATTTCTGAAATGCATATTGTCAGCCATTAGCTGGCTCTAAATCTGTTTAATCTGTTCACAACATTTTACTTTTGGGCTCAAACATGTACTTTTAATGCAATGGAAAATTTAGGTACCCGAGCTTTAATTTAGAGGAGAGGGGAGACGCGGACTGTTTTCTGCAGCGGTATATTTATTGAGTGCACAAATTACGAAAAGACATGCATGGTCCTGTGCGCGTTTATGGTCTTGGGTACATGGGCACGTTGCGGCTACGCGCTCATCGTGTTGTGTTGTGAGCGGTTCCCGGTGAGCGGTTCCTGCGTCCAGCTCAGAGCCGCTGGATGCGGGAACACTGCGGCCGCTGAGGTGGTGGAATCCCGTTCGAGTACATACAGCAGGTTCCCCGCGGACACGCGCGCTCCCCTCAAACATTTCTCAACGGATTTACACTTTTCACAAACATGTTTTTTGTATGAGGCAGACAGACCGGCCCAAATATGGGCATCGGTCCTTCGGGCATTGCCCGATACGCCCGATGGCCAGTCCAGCCCTGTCCCAACCCCATAAACGCGCACAGGACCATGCGTATCTTTGAGTAATCTGTGCACCCAATAAATACACTGCTGCAGGAAACAGTCCGCGTCTCCCCTCTCCTAGCGCGATTAAACGCCCTAAATAAAGCTCTGACTCCTACATTTTGCATTGCATTAAAAGTTCATGTTTGAGCACAAAAGTAAAATGTTGTGAACAAATTAAACAGATTTAGAGCCAGCTAACGGCTGACAATATGCATTTCAGTCTTTTTTGACCAATTCTCATCCCTGTAACAAACAATAGTGTTGTCTGTCCACCTCCCTCACTCTGAGACATGTTCATTACTCTCTTGTAATATAGACTATTGCATTTTATTTTATTGTTGAAACTGCACATATCCTGATCCTCTACAGTATTTGCTTCCACACACTATAAACTAGGAGTCGGCAACCTGCGGCTCTGGAGGCGCATGCGTCTCTTTCCTTCAGTAGAAGGAAAAACGTTCTTGTGCAGGGTGAGAGGGGTCGGCTGTGATACGACCAGCCCGGCGTCGAGCTCGGGCCACGTACAGGTCTTGCAGCGATGGAAGGCTGCGGCCAATCACTTCCTCTGCAGAGCGCACAATGCGCTGTAGTCTCTGTTTGTCCCTGACTGTGGCTCCAGCGAACCACACGGTGATGGAGGAGGTGAGGATGGCCGTGTAGAACTGCACCAACATTTGTGCAGGCAGCTTGGCTTTCCTGAGCTGCCGCAGAAAGTACATCCTCTGCTGGGCCTTCTTGATGAGGGAGCTGATGGTCGGCTCCCACTTGAGGTCCGGGGACAATGATGGAGGATTTGAAGCAGGCCGGGACATGGTAGGACTGCAGAGAGGTGTTGAAAATGTCAGTGAACACAGGAGTAAGCTCACTGGTGCAGTGTCTCAGAGTGGCCGGAGACACGTGGTCCGGGCCAGGAGCTTTGGGGTGCAGCCTCAAGATATCTTTAGAGGCTATTGTCAGGATGGGTGGGTCGTTAGAGTAGTGGCGGGTGGGGGAGGGAGAGGTGTCAGAGGCAGCATCAAAGTCACTGACAAAAAAGTTCAGGTAGTCAGCTAGCTTGTGGTCGTCAGCACGGGGGGGGGCAGTATCGTTGTTACCAAACTGCTCCTGTAGTCGTTCTCTGTGCTGGGACTTGGCTGCTTTCAGTTCTTTCCTGAACTGATACTTAGCTGCTTTGTAGCCGCTGCGGTCCCCCTCCCTGAAAGCAGACTCCTTTGCTTTTCTGAAAAGCAGACTCCTTTGCTTTTCTGAGTTTAGCAGTGAACCAGGGTTTGTCATTCTTATAGATGACCCTGGTCCTTGTTGGAATGATGCTATCCTCCCAGAAGTGGATGTATGACGTCACAGTGTCCGTATATTTATCCAAACTATCTGTGGCAGCTCTGAAAAAGGTCCCAGTCTGTAGATTCCATGCATGCGCGCAGCTCTTCCACAGCTTCATCAGACCACACTTTGGAGCTCCTCACTGCAGGTTTCGAGAACTTTAGTCTCTGTCTGTAAGCAGGAACTAGATGTATCATTGAGTGATCTGAGAAGCCAAGGGCTGCCTTGGGAACAACGCGAAAAGCTTCGCGCACGGTGGTGTAAGTGATCCAGAGTGTTCTCCTCTCTGGTCGGGCATTTGATAAACTGTCTGTATTTGGTTAATTCCTGGCTCAAGTTTATAGTGCACAATGGCGATCCGCGCGGAACAGCCCAAAACCCTGCAGCTCCAGAGCGCAGTCCGGGATCCGCTCATATAGCCAGGTGTCAGTGAAGCAGAGGACACAGGATGTGGCAAAGTCCTTGTTTCTTCTCATGAGCAGACCGAGTTCGTCCATCTTATTGCCCAGTGAGCGTACGTTGGAGAGAAAAATGCCTGGGAGAGCCGTGCGCGCTCCTCTCCTCCTAAGACGCACGAGCAGGCCTCCGCGCTTTCCCCTTTTTCGGGCCCACACTTTTTTGGCTAGAACATGGACTAAATCA